TATTAGAATGACTTCTGAAGGATCATGTGACACTGAAGACTGGAGTAATGGCTGCTGAAAATTCAGCTTGACCACCACAGGAATGAATTATATTTTAAAATATATTCAAAAAGAAAAAAATTATTTATTAATTTTTCACAATATTACTTTTTCACTTCTTTAATCAAATAAATGCAGCCTTGGGGAGCATAATAGACTTAAAAAAAAAAATATATCTTACCAAGACCTGATATATCTATTTAAAACCAATCCTTATATTATTAGTACTCATTTTTTTTTCAAATCATCTTTTTTAGAAATGTAAACAGATTGCAGAGAGTAAGGAGGAGATGAGTATTGCACGGCCACATGTTTCAGATGATGATGATGATGATGAGACACGGGTGAGTATTTATGCTTAAATTTAGAGCAGCAAAACATCTTTATTTTAAACCAAGTATGTGCAAGTGTTGAGAAAAAATTAATGGTGAAATATTGTTTTTGGCCAAAACTTTAATTGCAGTTTTATTATTTGGCCTCCTAGATTTAATCATGCTCTTGTCATTGAACTAATTTAAACATGTTCTATCAGTTGCCTGTATTTATTTACTTGTTAATGTTTTTATTTTTAACTGTTTTGCAGTAACCCACTGTCCTTCTGCTGCATCTCGTATATAGTCCTGATGATGGACACCTGTGTCTCGTATTTGGGATGAAATCTGCCAGAGGATTGCATCCATCATGTAAATTAATCTTTTGTTTGCTCACAGGAGAAGGGCATTTGAGCATCTGGACACTTGAAGCTACATTGTTTTCAGTTATCTTTAAATTGTCAGTTGTTGGAACAGCTGCAGGCTACAGAAACCTTTTTTTTTTTTTTTACCTTAGACTACAAACTACCAGATTGGACCATTCAGTATGTCTAAAAGTAGAACAAAGGGGGTAAAGTGTTGAACAGACATACTACCTGCCCAGACTGACAGTGAAATGTTTCGCTTTCAGGCTTGTTTTTACCTTCACTACATACGGTGCCTCTTGATACCATGAAGAAGGACCTCTGGTAGATTTAATTCAGATTTATAGGTGTACCTAAAAGAAAAAACAGATTTTGGAGTGTAGTTTAGATCACAGGTCAGGTCTGTTGGTGCACACTTTCAGAGCTTTCTGTTAACATACAGAGACATGATCATTTTACGAGTATTTTTTTTCCCCGTCTTTTTTAAAATTAATGAAGTGTTAATCACTTGTTTAAATACATTGGTGAAGAGAATTGTTTTTGTTCATTAACACTTTTGTGAACTTTTAAAGCAAATTAAATGTTGAGGTTCAGAGTTGTGGCTGTAATTGAGTGCTGTACTTAACAGATGATGTTTGCATTGATGTGCATTGTAAGGGTTCTGACCACATACTTTCTTTTAGTTACATTGGTTAAACCTTGCTGTGCTGCTTGATGGTAACTGACATTGTAGTCTGGCTTTATCTAAAAAAAATCACAGAGAATGACACTCATTGATGAGATTAAAGGTTTCTTTTCTCATTTTTAGTCTATCAAATAGTGCATCCTTGTATACGACAGACCATGATGCAGTTGTGTGGTATACAATGCGGTTTCATCTTTGTGACTGAAATATTTGACCCAGCATAGCTGCAGGATGGGATGCTGTATTTTCAGGAGTGAAAACGTCACCCATCACTATTCTAGATAAGGGGTGATTAAAATGCATATGATTTGCATAAGATTATTGTTTAGACACATGTACTGTATATTGAGTAGGTGTGCATTTTGTCTGTTTTTTTTTTTTTTTACCTCTCCCCTTCAATGTGTTCTATGGTGGAGATCTTAGAAAAATTTAATATTTAACATTTAAGGTCGACACATAAAGATGAATTGTTAGAGAGTATGTTCAACAAGATGGAATGTTCCACACTAAAGGATAGATTTGTCACTGTATTGTTGTCCACATTTAAGAAATGATACAAACTTCTGTACAGAATTTCTTTACACTTCATTACATTAATATTAACAGATTTCAGACTGGAAATTTAAAGCATTTTAAATGATAATATTTCGTTTTGCCATTATTGTTCATTTTAAGGGACATTTCACCCAACTATTAAAATTCTGTCATCATTTACTCACCCTCATGTTGTTCCAAACCTGTGTGACTGACTCTGCAGAACACAAAATAAGGTTTTGAAGGTTTGTATTAACATGAGGATGAGTAAATAATGACAATTTTCATTCTTGGACTATCCTTTTAATTAGACAACTGTCATTGAGAAATTAGTATGGCCATGTTGAAGTCTTCTTAAGGATAGTATGAAAAAGGTACAAGCCCACATTCCTTGCATAAAATGTGAAACATCCTCAGTTTTGACAAAGCATTTTTATCCTTTCCATCACATTGTAAAAATATAATGGCACACTTTGTATATTATGCAACTTCAAATATTAAAGGAAACAATCAACATGACTTTTGAAAATGTGTTTTCTTTTCTAACCAGTTATATTAGAGGGGAAAAAAAGTCAATTAAATCTTTAGAAAAATCATTGATTTAATCTGGTTTCATCTGAGAGAAAAAAACAACACCTTACAGTACACTGACACATTAAAACATATCAAATGTTGATGCCTTGTTCATTTTTTTTTTTAAGAAGATAGGTCATTTAGCTTGACTATCCACACCGGTCAGATTGTGATTCCAACAAAGAGTAGTGTTAAGACTTAATAGAAATCTGCTTATCAATACATACATATCAATAAATAAAAGATCACATAAAACATCTCAACATTTAATAAGTAATTACTATATCTCTACAATATCAACAAATGGAATTGCTATCTGCTTGAGTGGTAGCATGTGTAGCATGTTCTTCCATACTAGTCCTTATTCTAGAATGTACTAGATTTAAAAGATTACACACTTTAGTGTACAAATGCCTTCAATAAGACAAAAACAACCTGATATTTTAATTTGACTCAAAAGGACGATTCGTCTTTCCGGGCGGCTGAGAAGACTAGCAAACCTAGTAGCATTAGCCGTTCAGTCTTGTGCAATCTATAATTAAAGTAAACGGTCAAACAATAATTCGTTAATAAATTCCCCGCTCAGTGCTGTTAATCATAATTTGTATGCAACTTGTTTCTAAATACTGTAATTTTACCGGCCCCTGCTGGAATCAATGAATATGTCGAAAAAGGAAACGGGAAGTTGTCGATTGCTGCTTTCCGTAAATGAAGGGTTGAATCGAGGTTACTTATTCTTATAATACTCAGCCTAAAGGACAAACATCTAGTTTACAGTTAAAAAAACAACCGAACACATCAATGCCGTTATCTAAATCGGTTCCCAAAGTGAGCGTGAGTTTAAGTCTAGTGACATTTTCATAGACATAGCTTAGCTTGTCACGCCATATGTTTAACACCAGTTAAATAGGAATTAAGCTTATTTTACGACCTGGACAGTAGTTTCCTATCTGTTCCCATATTCACATTATGCAGCAGTCGAATAATGAGGACAGTGAGGCCACCGTGGACGTGCATTTTACCGACTTGACTGATTCACTGGTGGCCTGGAAAGTTCCTGTGGATGTTTTTGCCATTGAAAAACCTTTAAAAGTGAGTAATAATGAATTCACACTCCTGTCTCCCTCTCGAGCATCGTATTTAGGCCTGACATGCATGAATAACTCTGAAATATAGATTAAATATGCATTTAAGTATATGTGCATATATTATCAAAACAAGTTAATATGTAAAGGCATTGCATTGAATAACAAAATATCAAACCAAGTAGCATATATGTTAAAGAAAGAGCACCAGGACACTTTAAGCAAAACGTCTCACAAAAAAAGAAGTGTGTTTTATGTTATAAAGCAATAGATCAACTTGGACACTTTCTTGTCAAACATAATCAGTTTCTGATTCTGAAAAACTGTTTGGACTCTTTCTTGTCAAACATAACGGACACATCCATATTTAATGTGATGAACTACATAAATTGGCATTTGTTTTCTTGGTTTGATATTGTGTTTTCGAATGCAAAAAAAAAAAAAACATGCATATTGACATTAAGGGATCATGCAGTTGTTTGTTGTAGATTTGTTGGCTGCACATTCAAGCTGCAAATGTGTCATCCCACTTTGTTCAAAATTTGCTCTGTTGGATTGAGATCTGGGGCTAGTTTCATAAACCTTGCCACTATGTTAAGATGGTGTATTAAGAACAAGTTTGTCCAACTAGCAGTTAGCTAAGGGGTAAGAAGTCTCATTTTTCAGATTCAAGTTAGACCAAGCTACTTTTTAATGTAAACGTTTCAAAAAATGTATGACCAGTCTTAAAAAAATAAATAAATTAGATGACTAGCTTTTAAGACTAGTCTAAGCCTTTTATGCAACCAGCCCCAGAACCAGAGATAACTTGCTTTGTGACATGGGACTTTATACTGCATAATCTTCACAGTAATCTTATTTAATGGGCCATAAGCAAATCTTTTTCCTAATGATATGATGCAAGCATCAGATTTGAAGATTAGGCATTTGTGAGATGGTTGAACTTGAATGTCTGTAACTTGGAAAAGACTAGTAAACTTTTAGGATAATGGATTCTTTGGAAAATGTATGCAGATTTGGACATCAGTGGTGTGACTTGAATGTCTTTGTTCCTCATCAAATAACATTCTCATTTTAAAAGTTTTTGTCAGTTCAGAAATGTTGTGTGGTTTTGTTTCATATCATTTATCAAAACGAAGCATTTCAAACATTTAGCTCTTTGTCCTGAAAGTATAACCTTACATACTTTCTCCATAATTTGTTTAACGGCAGTTTATGATGTATTGCAGTAGAAGCTGTGCTTTCAGGAAATGGAGACTTATTATATACACGCTGTGTCCCTTGAGTTTAGGTCTGAAATATTGAGAGAAGGCAAGCGCAAATCCTGGCAGCGGCAGGAAATATTGGAGTGCTTACAAGTCAAGTAGCTGAGTAAATAAACAAAGCAATAACTAACAAAGCATATTGCATTCATTTGTTTGCCATTTTTCTACAAGATGATTATGACATTCCAGTGGTGAATAGGTGTGTTTGTCTTGGCTGAAGAAATTTTCCACTTGACGTCACCTTTGTTGAGCTGTTACACAAAGCCTGGCAGTCAGACATCCTTAAGGCAAGTTGTAGACATTGTTATTATAATGTAGCGCAATGACCTGTTGTTTCTGCTGCCCTTTTTATATAGTTCAACTCAAGAGATTGATTTACCACAGTGCCGCACGACAGGTTTTGTCAGTTTGTCAATGATAAAGGAGCATTTGTTAATGAGATTTTGGGACGTAATGCACAATAAAGCAAGCACTTACTGTATATCCAAAGACTAAAAGTTGTCTATAGCACAAGTAGGTTAATTTTGAGCTTAGGCAACAGGTTTCTGGTGTGTGCAGCTTTCCAAATAGGATGGAAACCTTGAGTTAAATGGAAATGGGATGAGAGCAAAATAAAAGTGATAGGAAAATAGTCTGCTGCTGAGAATGGAGAAAATGGAAAATCTGTTCCATTGTGTTTTGCGATGTGGAAAAAGGAAGCAAGTTCTAGGACACATATTATAATGCGGATGCAGAAGAAGGTCATGTAATCACCACCAGACAGAGTGGGGGGTCAGACTCCCAAATATTCATTGAGTTTTTCAATGGTAGATTCTTTAACATATTGGTCCTCTCTATTCTTAAACACTTAGCTTCATTCTTGTGAAGGAGTCATGTATGAAACTGATGTAAAAATACAATATATATATACACTTGTGACTGCATATCAATTAAATTCTGAGGATAGTTCACCCAAAAATAAAAATATTGTCATTTATTCACCCTCAAGTTGTTCCAAACCTCTATGAGTTTCTTTCTTCTGTTGAACACAAAAGAATATATTTTGAAGAATGGTAATCAAACCGTTTCTGGTCCCCATTGACTTCCATAACATATTTTGTTAAATGTCTGTTGTTTTTTGTCTACACAGTGGCAGTTAAGGGTCACCAAAACTGTTTGGTTGCGAACATGCTTCTTTTTTCATTTTGTTTAGCAGAATACAGGTTGGAATGACATTAGAGAGAGTAAATAATGACAGAATTTTCATTTTTGTATAAACTGTTCCTTTAAATGTGGTAAGCCACTCAAAAACTTTAATTGGCTGCATGTTTGTACGCAAAAGTTCCACTGGAACACACAGTTTCTTTTCGCATTTTCAGCAGTTCTTTGCTCGTATTTTGACGTGGCTGTTTTTTTGTTGTTGTTTTTTTTGTTTTTTGCAGATGATGATCATCTCTGCCCAAGTGAACAATCTTAATTTCAGAACTTATCATTGTGGTGTCATTTTCCACCCTCAGTTCTTTGAACTAGCCTATTTACAGTGGCACAGCCGTAAACAAACTACTGCACAACATGCAGTTTTGTGATCTACCTGGAGCATGCTGCTCTTCCTCTGTTTAGGCTCTTTTCACAAGCTAATGGCAATTTAACATTGTGTGAGGTCTAAAGTCTTAAAGGGACAGCCAAAAATCCCTTTCGTGTCACATTTACCATACTCTTGGCTAGGCATATGACGGTATCAAATTTTCATGTTGCGATAATTGCTGAAGCTTTTATCACGTTATGCAGTATTATCACAATATTGAAATAAGTTGCAAAAATGTTGTCATAATATAAAAGGTTTAATAACTTTTTTTCTTATAACAAAAATAACTGAATATTTAAATAATATAGCATTAGACAAAAAATGTATAAAGTAAATTAATGTTTCAAATGAATTAAAGTTCAAAAGAATTATAAAGAACAATAGGTAAAATTTTACAATAAGGTCTGATTAGTTAACCTGATAATGCACATTAACAGTAAGCAATAGCGACATTTGTTACAGAAGTTATTATTCTTTGTTAAAAATACAACTGTTAGTTCATGTTAGCTTGAGTCCATTAAATAATATGATTAGATTTTAATAACATGTTATTAAATGTTGAAATTAACTAAGATTAAGAAATGCTTTAGAA